CCATGTCGAGGTGGGCGATGACCCTTCCATCGGACGATACAGGCTTCGCCACCGGCATTCCTTCTCCTTCTTCTTCTTCTTCGTCTTCGTCTTCTTCCTTCCGCTCCTCTGTTTTCCCTCCAACAATTCCTTCCAAAGCATTTGGGGACGCAACCCCTCCTTTCTTTTCTTTTTCTTTTTTCTTTTCTATTTTACCTTTTATTTGTTATTAACATTTTATGTTAAAATAATAAGTACGCATTTATCATTAATTATTGGTATTCCGAGTGATTAGCGATTCCCAATGAAGAGAATTGTGATTAGCGGGGACTATTGACAATTAATAATGGATCGGTAACTTTCTCTGTTAAGTAAAATAGGTATTGTGCTAAGTTACTTTTTCATTGCCATTAGTAGTTCTTTACACTCCAAAACTAAATATGTAATCTTTCTAGTCTCATTTACCAAACGTTATTTCGTGTCCTTTGTTCTTCCATCCACATTTGTCAATCGCATGATTATTATTGAAAATATGTCTCGAGTTTAAGCCCAAAGCGAAAATTTGAATATTCGAAATTGGTATTTTGTGGACGTCCGAAATCGAGCAAAAGGAAATATTGGAAATTTGCTTTCCTAATATGCAAGAGTTGGCAGCAAACAAAAGAAAAGAAAAATAGAATGAATATTTATTCTTTCGTAATTTTAGTGGGAGTCACGGTCTGCCAAAGAAAGAAGAAATAGGAAAGTCCAAACTTGGACTTGTTGACCGCATGGAATCTCTTTCCAAGTTGGAGTCGGCCACTGTACGTGGGGATACAAATATATACATATATATTCTTGAACTTGGCCGCAAGAAGAAGAAGTCTTGATGCGCTATTATTGATAAAGAAGTCTTGAAGCGCCGCGGTTGACGTGAAGACGTTCGTGAGTGCTTGGCGGTGGGTGTTTCCATGGATTCTCGTTCGTGAATTACATCCAAGAAGAATTAGTGTTCAAGCGTAAATCTTGTGCTAAGATTTGTATATAATTCCTTTGCGAGATTGAGAGATTATTTCGTGAGAAATTGTGAGGCTAAACACTGTGTGAGTTATTGGGTGTAATTGGGGCTTGGGAAACACTTAGAGTGTTTGAGTGACTCGAGCGTGGTTGTAATCTCCGTTGTATCGCTTGATCTATAGTGGAATTCCGTGCTGCTCTCCCCGTGGATGTAGGTCACTACGACCGAACCACGTAAATCTGATGTTCGACTTATTTTCTTATTCTGTCAATTTTATTGTTCGATCGCTTGGCTTCCGCAACAATTGGTATCGAGCCTAGCTTGGCTGAGTTGAAGCGAATCGATGGCGATAGAAGAAGGAAAAGTGAGAATCGACGATTTGATGGGAAAGATTTTGGTTTTCGGAAGATGCAGATTGAGGATCATCTATATCAGATGAAACTGCACTTGCCCCTGTCTGGGGAGAAGCCAGAGACGATGAAGCAAACTGATTGGGAATTGCTGGATAGACGAGCTTTGGGTGTTATTCGGCTGACGTTGGCCCATAACGTCGCGTTTAACATCGTGAATGAGAAGACCACTGCGGGTTTGATGAAAGCCCTGTCGGACATGTACGAGAAGCCCTCTGCGATCAACAAAGTTTACTTGATGCGACGTCATTTTAATTTGAAGATGAGAGAAGGTGCGTCGGTTGGCAGATCATATCAATGAATTCAATGTGATTGTTAGTCAATTGAGTTCAGTTGATATTGACTTTGAAGATGAGGTACGTGCTTTGATTCTATTATCCTCATTGCCTGATAGTTGGAGTACTACTGTTACTGCTGTTAGTAATTCCTCTGGGTCGACAAGTTTGACGTTTGATGGTGTTCGAGATTTAATTTTGAGTGAGGACATCCGTAGAAGAGAATCCGGCGATCATATATCTGCTGCTTTAGTAGGTGAAAATAGAGGAAGAACTGGTACACGTGTTAGCAGGAATAGTATGAACTCGAATAGACGAAGTCAATCTAGGACTTGTGGTATAGTCTGTTGGAGCTGTGGCAAGAAAAGGCATCTTAGAAGGGATTGCCTTAAGTCAAGAACGACAAGGGTAAGGGAATTAGAGTTGAGTCTGCGGATGATGTTGCAGCTATTGCTGACAGTAATTCGGATAATGCTGATTTTGTCTTGTCTGTCACTGAAAATTCATCGTTTGATGGATGGATTATGGATTCTGGTTGTTCTTTTCACGCTACATCAAACAGAACCGGTTTACTACTTATCGTGCACGGATAGTAGTAAAGTGCAGTTGGGGAACAATTCAATGCGATGTTATTGGTGTTGGTGATGTTAGAATCAGAATGCATGATGGTATCGTGTGGACATTGACCGGAGTGAGGCATGTTCCAGAGTTGAAGAAAAATCTGATTTCCTTGAGTGCCCTGGATTCAAATTGGGTGTCAATATTCTTCGAATGTGGAGTTCGAAAGTTCTTCGAGGTGCCATGGTGATAATGAAAGGAATCAAGCATAGTGGCGTATGAGCTTCAAGGTGAGACAACGGAATTCGCTCAGAGCGTCGAAAGCATCGGTTCGAGAGTCCGAATTGTGGCATATGCGTTTGGGGCACATTAGTGAGAGAAGCCCAAGGTTCTAAGTGAAAGAAATTTGCTATGTGGTTATGTGGCTAACGAACCGAATGTATGCGGTCTTGTGATTTAGATCAACGGCGGAAAGTGCGATTTAGTACGGTTGTCGAGAGAAACCACGAAAATTGCAGAATTAATTCACTTAGATGTTCGCAGGTTGTCGCGATTTCCTTCGAGGAAAAGTGCTAGATTTATGCTAACAGTTGTTGATGACTACTCGAGGAAGACTTGGGTGCTTGTGCTAAGGCACAAGTTTGATGTTATTGTTAGGATCAGGCAGTTGAAAGCTTTGATCGAAAAGGAGACTGGTAAAACGATCAAGTAGGTGCGGACTGACAGTAGTATGGAGTTTTGCTCGAAGCTGTTAAACGAATTCTGCATGAAGGAAGGCATAATGAAACACCGCACTAGTGCCATTGAACCACAACAGGTTGCAGAGTTGATGAGCAAAATATTATTAGAGACGGCCCATAAAATGGTCTCTAGCGTTTGGCTATGCTAGGAGATTCCCGGCGGATGCGCTTAGTACGGCGAGCTACCCGAAAAATATATCCCCATCGACCGCGATTGAATGTCGGACTCCCGAAGAAGTGTGGTCGGGTAACGTTGCGATTATTCTGTTATTAGAATATTTGGTTGCCCATGTTATGTTCGAGTTAGTGATGGTAAGCTCGATGGAAGGACAAGAAAGTGCATGTTCCTAGGCTATGCACAAGGTGAGCGGGGCTATAAGTTGTGGTGCCCGGAATTAAATTCACCTATTATCAGCAGAGAAGTTACATTTGACGAGTCTCCAGTACTTCTGGCTAGGAGTGTTAGTAGCAGTGTTTATACGAATCTGGACGGTGTTCAGCTTGAGGTGGAGTTGCAACCAGAAACTCCCGAGGTAGCGGGTGCTAGCAAAGTAATCGACACGGATGGTGCTTGTAGCGAGGTGGAGCCTATTGAGCCAACGGTTGCCGTAACTGCTGAAATTGACAAGGTGCGTATTCGATCTCTCGATAGATATGGATGCAACAATGGTTTTGCTTTATCTATGGTTGAGGAGGTTGTGTCGGAAAATCCTTATGGAGCGGTTAAAGGTGCATGTGGAGTTGGTGTTCTGATGACGTCCACGGCTATGACAAAGTTCAAGCGAGGCTTGGACTTGAAAGACGTCTGTGGCGGTTGAGCCCATTGGGGCTGTGGGAGAGTAGTAGCGGAATTCGGATTCTATTGAAGCGATTGTTACTTGGCTCAAACGTCGAGCCAAGGTGGAGATTGTTGAAAATATGTCTCGAGTTTAAGCCCAAAGCGAAAATCTGAATATTCGGAATTGGTATTTTGCGGACGTCCGAAATCGAGCAAAAGGAAATATTGGAAATTTGCTTTCCTAATATGCGAGAGTTGGCAGCAAACAAAAGAAAAGGAAAATAGAATGAATATTTATTCTTTCCTAATTTTAGTGGGAGTCACGGTCTGCCAAAGAAAGAAGAAATAGGAAAGTCCAAACTTGGACTTGTTGACCGCATGGAATCTCTTTCCAAGTTGGAGTCGGCCACTGTACGTGGGCATACAAATATATACATATATATTCTTGAACTTGGCCGCAAGAAGAAGAAGTCTTGATGCGCTATTGTTGATAAAGAAGTCTTGAAGCGCCGCGGTTGACGTGAAGACGTTCGTGAGTGCTTGGCGGTGGGTGTTTCCGTGGATTCTCGTTCGTGAATTACATCCAAGAAGAATTAGTGTTCAAGCGTAAATCTTGTGCTAAGATTTGTATATAATTCCTTTGCGAGATTGAGAGATTATTTCGTGAGAAATTGTGAGACTAAACACTGTGTGAGTTATTGGGTGTAATTGGGGCTTGGGAAACACTTAGAGTGCTTGAGTGACTCGAGTGTGGTTGTAATCTCCGTTGTATCGCTTGATCTATAGTGGAATTCCGTGCTGCTCTCCCCGTGGATGTAGGTCACTACGACCGAACCACGTAAATCTGGTGTTCAATTTATTTTCTTATTCTGTCAATTTTATTGTTCGATCGCTTGGCTTCCGCAACAATTATCATGGATCATATGGACAGCAACAATATCTAGGAGCTGTACTAGTAAAAACCATTGAAAAAACTCCAAACAACCTACATCACCAATAAAGAAATTCAACTCGAGATATACATGCACTAACCGATTAGATAATGCAGGAACGAAGCTAATTAACTGACATCGCAAGTAAAATTCAACCCATTCTATGCAATGTAGATTAGAGCAATGTAGGTGCTCTTGTGAAAATTTGTTGTATTCAAAGATCTTGATGCCTATGTCCATCAAAGAGAAAACATTACAGATAAGACTGTCCAAAGGTCATAGACAATATAACTAATAATAATCTACTGACGAATGAATTGAACCCAAAGAAGCCTTCAAAAGAATGGCGCTTCAATTGCCGTGGCGCTGTATTATGTACATGATATTGAAATACATAAAAGCTTTAGATCTGAAATGAGGTATACAGTGATTACCGCAAGAAAAACAAAAATAGTAACTCCCTTCATCAAAGAAAATATAAGATGGCCTTTCACCATGATTGACCCTAATTAGAAACAAAACCAGGGGAAGGAACAATACAGCAATAGACTAAAAGAGGAGGCATTCCATCTTGAAACTTTCTCCACTGAGTGTCATGTGGGAAACGCCTCGTAGGAATTTGAATCGGCATCTTGTCCCGTCTTGTTCACCACCTTTCTCACCACGGCATGGATGCACAACAATTTCCATCATTGACTGCTGCTTGTCACGAGACTCGTGACAGGACGTAGGTGCAAATGCAGCATGAAGAACTTTACTTGTGTACCCACCATAAGGACGGTAAGGGAAAGATCCTGCTGTAGAAATCATCTCGATGCAAATGGTGTCACTTTACTCTAACCTGGAGAATGAGATGGATATGCCTCTGAAGATGGATCTTAGCTCGTCGTTTGCTTCAATCCCTATCGTTCTGCATAAGAACCAGCATAAGTTGTTCCTGAGTTCGAATATTCTCGAGCTAAAGTGCAATTTGCATGGTCGAAGCAGAAATCAGCACGCAAGCCTTTGGAATTTAAAACAAGAAACCAAGAGGTAAGAGCATTGTACCCTATTTTAGAGCCTTTCTTTCCAACCAAAATCTTGCGCTGACTTTGCTTGTGGGTAATGAGGTGCTGCTCAATCCTCAGAGAACCATCTCGCAACTCTTTCCAGTCCATCAAGCGATGCTCAATCTCATAGGGAATTTCCTAGATGGCCAAAATGTATTTCCATGGTCAATATCCTTCCACAATTTTTTCAAGTTCCAAACGACTTGTAAATAGAGGGCAAACTGTAAACTGTACCTGGTGTATGTAGTTCAACAACTTCTCTCTCACAACTTCCAGAGAGATGTTTTTCATGACTTCCTCACTCATCTCCATTGGATCTTCATCCCAAGGTCTTTGAATTGCCTGTTTATTAAAAGATGATCACATGTAGTAATCAGATAGTTACTTCTGAAGGTATTGTTATAAATTTTGTCTGAAAGGCCACAGAACCAATTATCATGAAATCCGAGGATACAAAAAACTGGAAGAGGAAATCAAAACTCGACTTCCTTGGAAAGAATTTGCATGTAAGAAGCAGATTTTTCAGCGAGGACATACTTTTATGCCTCCAACAAAGTCGATTCTCTCATCTTTGAATGTACAGTGACTTTTCACCACTGATCGATCAAATTATTTTAAACGAAGTAGATGCTAGACAGGAGGCATCTTGCACTATCAGCAAATACGTACTAGACCATTCTCGTGGCTTGACGCATTCAATGTTCAAGATATATCATTTGTGCAAAAAGAGGGCATGAAAAGGGATCCCAAATCTCTTGAGAAACCAAAATTCCATGTAAAACAATTCCAAAGAAGCATATTTTTTCTGTCATCCCCAAATAGCTAAATTTAACAGACCGCACTTCTCATACTTATCCCCAAAAAAGAAATATCTGAGATGTCTTGGTGCAATTAAAATCAATGAAGACTCAAATGAATTGACAGACTATGTGAAAAGTGAGTTTGGAAATGGAATTGATGGATCATATATTAAAAAGATCTTATCGTAAATCAATGAGCATGACCAAATGCAAAAAGATATAAAAGTAGATGGGAAGAATAGCGGTCGCATGAAGGAGGAAAAGGGAGCACACAGCCCAAAAGAATGTGGTTTAGGGAAAAAGGTGAGGTTTATAAGAGTAGAGAGATTGATAGAAGGACCGTGCCAGAGTGAGTGAAAAATTTCAAGAAGTAATAGGTTATGATTTACTTTAGATGCTTCAGCATTTGCCTGCTTTGTTCACAGACTGAACTGCCTTAAACGATTGCCGAAAATCAAATGTCACGCTAAAACAAAAAGAGAGATTTTTTCCATGTAGAATCGTTGAACTTGAACTATTGCAGATGATCAGTAAAACAGAGCCTTGCCTGCTCCATAAGATACTGAGAAAGATCTTTCACCCCAGAACCCTTCAGTCCAGATATCATGAAATACCTGATAATGGAAGCAAGAGAAATTGCAGTCAATAAGTTATCCAAAGCACCCACAAAATACTCCCGACAACCTCTTAAGTTTCTTTCCCCATTTTCCTTTTTTCCCTTGTTTGCTAGATACCTACATATATTCTTGGGTTACAGTGACGGACAACACTAACCTGTCATAACCAGGAAGATCTTTAAATTGGTTTGCAACCTGTAGGAGGTCCTTCTTTTTCTCCACTAAGTCAATCTTGTTCATGCACAATACCCGCTTTTGTCCAGAGTGAGCTTGAGCTCCCATTCGCTCAATCAATTTAGTTACCCTTATATGAGGTCTACATGGTTTAAAAAGCAACAAATCAAGACTATAAGTGATAATAAGGAAATAAAAGCTAAGGAGGAATTTACAATTTGAGAATATAATCAAAAGAACTAACAACTCCAGTATTTCGCTAAGCAAAAGAACAACCCTAGCTCTAGCTCTATCTTCAATTAGTTCTTTTCATTTCATAATTAGAATATAGAAAGAGACCTATGACCTATACTTGTTGGAAGAACTAAATATGTCAGCTCAACAAAAGAATACAAATATTTGCAAAGCTTATATACAGGGTCATGGAAGCGGAAGATAATATCTAAAATAACTCTACATTTCATAAATCATAGCAAGTTGACCACATGAATCCTAACTTGCAATAGAGCCTCGGTCTAAGTACAACACACTCATGCTCATTTTCTTCTAGGAGTTCTTGGTCTAACTTGCATAATTCCACCTTCATATTTCAAATAAACAGTAAAGTTCAAATCAAAGCATGATTAAGGAACTCAAGCTTTCACATTTTAAATTCCCATCACTAATAAAGCACGAATATTTAGTGCCAGCATCTTATGCTATAAAAATGTACACTCGATTCCTATGCTTTTGAGTACATTGATACTGCAAAGTTTATTGGACATGTGATAGTATGCAAAAACTTTGCACTTATGGAACCAACTCTAATCCAGCCATCGGTTAGATCTATGCTTGCAACAACAAACTGCGTAAAATTGCTTGATTAGATTCCCGCGAACCCACTTTGGAAACTACGATGAGCGGGTATTGAGTAATATGTATATGTAATTAGTACTCGCAAAACAAAAAAGTCATGTGCAACCAATTTTATCATCCTCATCAGCAGCAGGATAAAATATGATCAAACTACATGCCACGATATTTCTCTAATGGCGATATAACAAAAGTATCTGATAATGTATTTTAAATGAAAGATAGACACAAAAACAACAAGATATTTAGAAATTTAACTTTGTGAAAAGTAACCTGGTAAGATGCCTGTGAACATCAAATAAGACTATGAGCACATCATAGAGTTTAACTGCACTCCAAGCACTTTCAACACGTGCTTTCAAGTCCTTATGGGGAAATCCACTGCAAGTCAACGTAAGCCCGGGGGTATCAAAGAAGCACTGCATTGAATTTTGAAGAAATAAGATCATGATAATGATGGTTTTCTAAGATACAAGGCATTTGACTGCATCAATCTACATCCCTCAGCAAATGGCGCAGACCTATGTTCATAATTATCATCATCATGCCAGACAAAAACAAATTCATAATCAATCTAAGCATAACGAGCAAAGACAAATGACTGAAAAAATTGAACGAGTATAAGTAAGTGCGTATTGGGTTGCACATAGTAATAAAAAAAGTAACTTCCCACCAAAATCAAAAGATTTATATTATTATAAGAAAGTTCCACATCATGACTTTAAAAATATGTAAAACATGATTAATATTAAATATAAGGTTTGAAGTGTTTAGTGTTAAGACAAAAAATAAAATCTCCAACTCTAAAAGCAAAAGTTGAGCAACTTCAAGAAAGTGAAAATCATACGAAACGCACCCCAAATGACACTAATGGTTTCCTATTATAAGTCTGCGCAAGGGAAACTCTACTACGTACTATGCCGACATGATAGCATTTGATTATGGAATCCATTATTTGATGATGTTACTAGCTAAAAGATGAAATGTCGATCATCTCTCCATCTAGTCGAGATAAGAATCAAAACGATATTACACCACGGTGGTGGATAAGATATGCATCCAACCGTTACAAAGTCCAGCGAATGTGGGTGTCACCGACGGTCAAATGATGTACATCACGGGCTCGTTAAGTCGTGTTTATGAAACTAGATCCATCCAACTTTTGGGTGAATCGGGTGTTTCATTAGAAACTCCATATGATTTAAGGACTCGACTTCATCGCAGTCTGCTTTCTACATCTAAATTAAGTCGTGTACAATTTTGTGACGGGTCACATCCTGTAATTGCAAATGCGATCGAGCAACCACAAAAATATGCGCATAGGCTCTGATATTCTTTGCAAATCTTGGAATTTCCTCATGAGGCTCGACCTGAAATTGAGTGATTATCATCAACAACAACCACATGATATTAGGAGTTTTAATTGAGTGAATAATTGAATGCTAGTGCATTTACAGAAAGACGGCAGAGAATGTAATTAAACAATGTACACAGAAGAGGATAATGAATAAATTGAGCATGAGCATATGCTACACTATGTACAAGACATTTCTTCAGAGGCTACAACTTCTTATTTCGAGAAAAATAGTCGGCGATGCCAACACTCCGTCTAACTGAGTTAGCTTGCCGCTTCTGAGGACGAAGCCAGGCACGGACTTCTTCTTGGATTTCTAAAGGCAGCTCATCAATTACAGAGGGGTCAATCTCATTGACATTGTATTGCCACATCTCCTTTCTTTGTACATCTTCACTCAAGCTATCCCCACGAATAGAATTGCTGTTTTCTGTGATAAATAAAAATAAACCCTTCTCAAGAGCTTGGCATGATTTTGTCTAAATGAATGGACATGGGTCTGATTTTACCTAAAGAGGAACATATATTGGTATTGTCAAAAGATTGGGCAAGGACTTGGCTCTGGAGAGAGCAAGAAGGATCAACCCTCCTGAAAAATCTCAAGAGTGAAGGCGTTCCCTGCCACAGCATGCCACGACATACTAAAGAGTTAAAATCCATTAAATCATCTGCTTTAGATCATCGTGAGACTAAATGTTGGGATTGCACATATAAAATGACCAAGAGCGATTTCTACATATTACTATTTATCAGACAAGGGAAGGTAGCATCCCACAGTAAAACTACATCACCGCATTACTCCCAGTGACAAGTCATTAAGCACCATGAATATACAGTCACTGTGCACACTATATATAACAGAAATCAGAAAGATAAGTTACAAGTTATCATTTTCCTTCTATATTGTAAAAACAATTCTTTATCCATTCTCAATGTGCATTAACTTCAGTTATCAAAAACGTTTAATAAAATTTACCGCATTAGTCCGATTAGGACATGAAGCACAGATCAACAAAGGTAGCATGGAATGATGAGTAAGACTGTGTGTAAAAGAAGAATTGCTAAGAAAAGATATGGACATAGCTGGTCCACGTTCAAAACATCATAATACAGTACAATTAACATATCAAATGTGTCATAAGTAACAGATATTGGGTTCATATGCATGTATAACTTCAGCGTACATCGTGTGATAGTTAGGATTATAAAGCACGCATGAACATGACCTTAGTAGTAGAGTTTTCATTTCCATAATTCAATTTTTGAATCCTACACTTAAGCGCCAAAAGAAAAAGACTGCAAAGTGCATTATTGAACAATCAAAACTAAGATCTCACAACATTAGCTGAAGATTCTTGATTTCCAAGGTGCTACCAAAGTGAAGAATATATAATAAATTGACAGTCTGAAATAAAAATCCTTTGCAATTATATCAGAGGGTTCTGGCAATATCATTATCATATATTATTGAAATGACTCAGAGAGTAGAAGCGCATAAAAGAACCTTGTCTCTCAGTGAGTTTCTTTTCACTCGTTGCTCTGAAGCAGGTCTTCCAGACTCAAACATAGATTCTTCACTGGAAACTTTACTTTGCAGCTCAGTCAGTTTTGGTTCTAGATGGGATTCTCTTCCTACATTATAGAAAGCCTTGAAATACTTGCGCAGGGTAATACCAGAAAAGCATTCTATGAATTACAAGAGAGTGACACCACCTACTAAGACAGTACCTGAAAATGACAATGGAGTTTCCTGGCTGAAATCTGCATTTTTCAACGAAGACATTGAAGAGTCAAAGGGGACCTGCACATCAGGTAATCTGAAGAATGAAAACTTTCCCAGTTTTCCCAATCAAAAAACTGGCAGACTCGGAAGTATCCAAAGGCAAAAATGGTAAACTCAAAAACTATTGTCAGCCTCAAAGAAGCAGATGCTCTTAATTGAGCCATTACAGCAGTCTATTATCAAAGTAGATTGGTCAGTAAGTTTCTCATCCTTATTCATCATATAAGAATCGCTAGTTGTTGAAATGCTGTTCGCATTCAACTCACGACTGCCCACTGATTCAACCAGTATTACGATTTTATATGAAGTTCAGCTTATTTCATCCTTTATAACGGGGTAAGGATTGATTGTCTAATTTAAGGAGTAACAGCTTGAAGTATCATATTTCTGTTTATCAAACTAGATAATGCCCAATCACCTTCATCAAAATCAATTGTAAAAGAAAAGGAAAACTTGTGAAATTCATACCTCTAGTGAATTTTTACTTGTTTTATGTTCCATTGACTCCAAATCTGAGGATTCAGTCTTGATAGTGGGTTCCCCCTCTGGTAGTTTCATATGTTCAATTACATTCGAAGTCGAATTGCTTTCATTCTCTGAACAAAAAGCCAAGGCACATTCATATTGTTCCAGAAGTTTACTAAGTAAATAGAATGAAAGAAAATAAAACTGTTACTCATCGAGCCATAGAGTACCAGAAAATGAAGAGGGATTTTCTAGCTCAAATTTGTCCTTTCCTAGCTTTGACGGAGAGCAAAGTTGATCTTGACCTTGGAAGTATTTCATGATTGATGACGTCCCCTGGCAAAATGTTTATCGTTAAGTATATTTCACAAAACTGCTACTGTTAAGTGGACTTCCTTACAACTGAAAATTGATGTATCTAGCACAAACCGAAAAATACAGAAGTAAAGACTACAGTGGCGTGGGAAATACTCTTTTTATTCAAAGATTAGACAGTTACTATACAGAAAGTCAAATATGACATCCACCAAACGTCACTCATGGTGAAAAAAGCACGTAAATCTCACTGCAGTCCAGAAATTTCTGGACTACTTTAGTCAACATAGTCAATGGTTTGCCAGATAGAGCTAAATTTCTCAAACTAGAGGCAATACGGTGTTAATTTGCCTAGTTAATAAGGGAAAACCAAGTCAACATAACCTTAGGCCCCAACAGAACAAAAAGTAAACCTAACCTAAAATTGCTTGTGAACTAATAATGTAGACTGGTGCTGCCTCCACGGGACAGGACAACTTAGAAGATTTGCTGGCATTAAAAGCATGCAAACCAGCTTGAAACAAATTTATCAGCTTTATAGACCAAGAACTTCTCAACTTACAGATGGTATATCAGAAATTTTGCTTGCTGATACAGAAAGTCCTGTGATTCCCCATCCACCTTTTTTATTCCCTTGCGTCTTAACCTTGAAAGGACCCAAATATTCACGCAATCCAGCTTGAAAGAGGTTCATTGCATCTTCTTGAATCTTGGTAGTCCCGTATCTTAAGGGACAAGATTTAGAAGGGAACTTCTTATGTGAATCTGAGTCACTGGACTGAAGGATGATATTGAGGTGCATCAAGTACTCATCAAAAGGACAACTTTTAGAGCAATGCATGGCAGAATTGGTTGAAGCAAAGATATGGAGCTACCGTGTATGCTCCAGCATGAAGAGTCAGTGTGCGGGCAATCCGTCTATTCTGATCCAAGTCAATGTGAAGACGTTCACTCAGCTCCTCACAGAGTTCATTAAGCCAGTGTTGCACCTAAAATAAAGCAAACAGATTGCCGAATTATTTTGTGCCCAACACGAAAGCAAGTTCACCAGATTTTTAACATGGCATTACCAAATTTCATGTGGATCCGTATAATGGATTTGCACGAAATTATAAGCTTAACCTTACCGAAACCAAATACTACCGGGCAAATTGATCTCCATAAATAAAATGGAACTTCTGGTAGGCATAAATATTTTACAAAATACAGTAGCAAAAAGTCAAGCAAGTTCAAGTCTAAAATCGAAGGAAGCTACCAAACAAAAGCCAACAATCGAACCTTTTTGGTTTTACCAGTGATAGTTTAATGATATGACAATGGCTTGTAGGCATGGTGATGGATTTTTAGGGCCACCCAAATATCACAGACAAAATCCAGAAACACAGTTCAAAAAGAACTAAGGCTTTTATGTTTTTCCTTTCCAGAGCTAGTGAGCACTTCGAACAATTCAATCTCATATATAAAATAATATGGTCTTACTTATAGTCATCCAAATGACAGATTAAAGGAAAGGAAAAGCGCTACGTGCAGCAAAATTTATCTGATTAACTTATTTATCAATGATCACATATACTTTTTGGCTTCTAAGTTCAAAAGGCTAGTAATGACACCAATGGACCCTGCAGCGTGCAGTCAGCCCTAAACAAAGCAGTTACACAACAACCAATGACATGCATAGTTTTAGGTTTCCAATAGGTGTTTCTAAGCCATATTAATAAAAATAACAAGTATGAATGACAGAAAGCATAGGAAATCAGGGACAGTAAAAGAAGAACAAAAAATTTGGCACAACCAAAATCATTTTAGTACTAAAGAAAATTCATTAGTTGGATGCGGATTCTTTGATATGGTGGCAAACCCTTTAAAAAAAATGCCAAAAAGCACTAATCCGAATGAAAAAGAAATACTTACAGAAGGAAGCGACTTCAAAGCCCGAGGACCAGGAAACGTCTTTCCAGAGCCATGACTCTTGGGAAGAAGGCGTCCTTCAACTTCTTCACCACTAATTCCCCTCGCGACATTCCACAGCCAGGTGCTAAGGTTTGTTTAAAACAGAAAAAAAAAATTACAAGGAAGCACATATCAAAACTAGCTGATCCATAAATACAACAACAGTATCTAATAGAAACAAATGCTAATGTTGAACAAGTGCTCCAGATTAGAATAATCAAAGAAGAATATGACAAAATGATAAAGTAGCAGATGCAAAGTAAATTTGTCAATGCCTAAATGATTAGACAAAATGAAAAGAAAAACATCCCAATAAGGAAGCAAAAATATTATCAGTCTACATACAAAAAATCTGAAATTTGAATGGACGAAATCAGCTTACAAAACCATGATGGGCTTTTTCTACAGTAAGCAAAGCAGAATTAATTAAAAATTTGTAATATTGCAGAACAGACAACTACCCAGTGTTTGTGCCATAACATTCTTGTAGCTTTTGCTCTGAAAATTGCAATAGATCGCCAACAAAATTCACCCCCAACTCACATTGCAAGGAACTCCCTAGCTTTCCTCCAAGTTGTTTCCTGCAATATTTTTGTTGGAAAGGGGAAATGAGAGACTCGAAAGAAATCTATTAGGAGGATCACGCATAAGCACGGCTAGCATACAAAATAAAGTGAAATCATCATTGCATCAACAATGCTGCACAAACAACACATTTCTTCTTAGAATAGCCAAATAAAGACAGCAATACAGAATATTTAGGTGCCGGTTACTATATTGAAGAGTAGAATAGTTTATAGTACTGTATCTAGTAAAAACCTACATTTTCTTGATTGGCAATGACTCGAGCAACCCTTGAACTGACGAGCAGGGCACAACAGTTTGTTGTGCAGGTTTGTTCATGGCACTAGCAAGCTTGGATAGCATCTACTAAAAATTGAGTCATTAGATGCTGAGACGAAATTAAGTTATAAAAAGATGATAGAGAAGAAATCATAATTCCACCTTGTTGTGAGAAATTCCCGCCGAACATGTGAACTGAGTTTCCTGTAAAACTTGCATTCTGAGATCCGCAACAATGAGGACCCCACAAGCTAATAACTTATCTCGATGATCAGCATCGCTCCGACAAAGCCACTCCTTCACATTTTCCTTCATGTCACTTCCATCCTACACACGAGAGATCCCACTCCAGAAATGGTCACTGATGGAAAAATAAGTTCATGACAAGTAAAAAAAAAGGTTGAAGAACAAAGAAGGAGAAAATCCATAGCCTTACCTCATGCTTAAGGCCCAAAATATGCGATTTTAGAGCTACGTCGTCAATTACTTCCAAGCACTCTGGCGGGGTTTCTGCTAGCATAGTTTCGGCGGCATCGGTAAGGTCAAGATAAACCTCATCAATTGAAGCTCGTTCGCATCGACCCATCCTAGCAAGGATGGAAACCACCTATGCAAAAGGATAGAGTAGTCATCAAGCACACGTCCAGACCTAGCTACCATCAACACAAATGGTGAATTGACCACAAACTAAAGACATCACGAACCTCCGAACCCGCTTCACGATAAGAATTCAAGTCAGCTTTACCGCGGGTAACCGGTACCTGGGCCAGATGTATTTGCGGACAAACTTCTTTCGCTTCATCTCCTCGCATGAAGCTGGAAAAAAGTCGAGCAGTCTCAGTTTCCGACATCCGACCCAAGAAAATAACCTCGGAGAGAAGGCGAAAGAAACCCATTTTTTCCTCCTTCTTTCGCTCACCGCTTGACACCGAATTTACGGGCTTCGTAGCTGACGGCAAGCAGACATCCGCCTTTCCAAGAATTGTACTGCACGACGGCGGTGGGCAAGCCCCTGAGCTCCGGCCGTTTGCGCTGTTCCACTGCGAAGAAACAGGAGCTTTGTTTACTCGCGGGGTGGGAAAAATAGCTACCGAGCCAGAATCGGACAGGATTTGAGGGAGGGGGGAAATGACAACACGCGGCAGGATTGAAGGAAGGGAAGCGCCAAAGCACTCGAGGGCAAGGTTGACTGGAGGAAGAAGAGTGGTGGGCGGGGAGAGAGAGAGAGAGGGAGAGACCTTGAACGTAGAAGCAGTCCATGTCGAGGTGGGCGATGACCCTTCCGTCGGATGACACAGGCTTCGCCACCGGCATTCCTTCTTCTTCTTCTTCTTCTTCGTCTTCTTCCTTCCGCTCCTGTGTTTTCCCTCCAACAATTCCTTCCAAAGCATTTGGGGGCGCAACCCCTCCTTTTTCTTTTTCTTTTTTCTTTTCTATTTTACGTTTTTAAGGTGGAAGTGGCCCCTTTTTATTTGTTAATAACATTTTATATTAAAATGATAAGTACGCATTTATCGTTAATTATTGTTATTTGGCATAATGACACAAATGATCCAGAACTTTGGCCAAGCGCATGTGACTCTTGATCTTTTAATTTGTTTAATATGATCCTCAAACTTTAGCTCAATATATAATGTGGTCCATGAACTTTTAATTTGTTCATTACGATCTCCGAACTTTTGGTATATGTTCAACTATGAAAATGTTGAATATTTTCATTTCATTAATTTAAGTTCGGAAACAATGTTGAACACTTTTATATAATTTAGGACTAAATTGAACAAAATACCACATTGAACAAATTAAAAGTTCGGGATCACAATGCACATGCGTAGTTTAAGGATCACATTGAACAAATTAAAAATTCGAGGACTACATTACATATTAGGCCAAAATTCAAAGACTAATTGTATCTTTTTTTTTTTTTGTTATTTCAAGTGATTAGTGATCCCAATGAAGATATTGACTTGTGGACTATTAACAATTAATAATGGATCGGTAAGTTTCTCAATTAAGTAAACAGGCGGTATTCATTGCCATTAGTAAATTTTTGACGCTCGAAACCTAAATATGTAATCTCTCTGTCTCATTTACCAAACGTTGTTCATGCCCTTGTTCTTTTATTTCATCCACATTTATCAATCGCATGATTATCATGGATCATGTGGACAGCAACAATATCTAGGAGTTGTTCTAGTAAAAACCATTGAAAAAACTCCAAAAACTAAACATCACCGATCGATAAATTCAACTCAAGACATAACATACATTTACCGATTAGATAATGCAAGAACAAAGTTAATTAATTGACATTGCAAGTAAAATTCAGCCCATTCTCTGCAATGTAAATTAGAGCAATGTAAGGTGCTCCTGTGAAAATTTGTTCTACTCAAAAGATCTTGACGCCTATGCTATGTCCATCAAAGAGGAAACATTACAGATATAACTGTCAAAAGGTCATGGACAATATAACTACTAATAATCTACTGATGAATGAAATAGCCAGGTTCCAAATTATCATTATAACATCAATTAAGTACCGCAAGGCGTTGGAAAAGAACCCAAACAAGCCTTCAAAAGAATGTTGCTTCACTTGCCTTTTGGCGCTGTGTTATGTACATGATATTTAAGTACTTAAAAGCTTTTGATCTGAAATGAGGTATACAGTGATTACCCCAAGAAAACAAAAATAGTAAGATGGACTTTCACCATTATTGACCCTAATTAGAAACAAAACCAGGGAAAAGAAAGAAACAGCAATAGACTATAAGAGGAGGCATTCCATCTTGAACTTTCTCCCACCGAATGTCATGTGGGAATCTCCTCATAGGAATTCGCATCGGCATCTTGTCCCATCTTGTTCACTACCTTTTTCACCGCGGCGTGGATGCACAACAATTCCCATCATTGACTGCTGCTTGTCACGAGACTCGTGACAGGACGTAGGTGCAAATGCAGCATGAAGAACTTTACTTGTGTACCCACCATAAGGACGGTAAGGGAAAGATCCTGCTGTAGAAATCATCTCCTTGCAAATGGTGTCACTTTACTCTAACCTGGAGAATGAGATGGACATGCCTCTTGAAGATGGATCTTAGCTCTTCGTTTGCTTCAATCCCTATCGTTCTGCATAAGAACCAGCATAAGTTGTTCCTGAGTTCGAATATTCTTGAGCTAAAGTGCAATTTGCATGGTCGAAGCAGAAATCAGCACGCAAGCCTCTCAAATTGAAAACAAGAAACCAAGAGGTAAGAGCATTGTACCCTATTTTAGAGCCTTTCTTTCCAACCAAAATCTTGCGCTGACTTTGCTTGTGGGTAATGAGGTGCTGCTCAATCCTCAGAGAACCATCTCGCAACTCTTTCCAGTCCATCAAGCGATGCTCAATCTCATAGGGAATTTCCTAGATGGTCAAAATGTATTTCCATGGTCAATATCCTTCCACAATTTTTTCAAGATCGAAACAACTTGTAAATAGAGGGTAAACTGTAAACTGTACCTGGTGTATGTAGTTCAACAACTTCTCTCTCACAACTTCCAAAGAAATGTTTTTCATGACTTCCTCACTCATCTCCATTGGATCTTCATCCCAAGGTCTTTGAATTGCCTGTTTATTAAAAGATGATCACATGTAGTAATCAGATAGTTACTTCTGAAGGTATTCTTATAATTTTGTCTGAAAGGCTACAGAACCTATTATCATGAAATCCGAGAATACAAAAAACTGGAAGAGGAAATCAAAACTTGACTTCCTTGGAAAGAATTTGCATGGAAGAAGCAGATTTTTCAGCAAGGACATACTTTTATGCCTCCAACAAAGTCAATTCTCTCAACTTTGAATGTGCAGTGACTTTTCACCACTGATCCATCAAATTATTTTAAACGAAGTAGATGCTAGACAGGAGGCATCTTGCACTATCAGCAAATACGTACTAGACCATTCTCGTGGCTTGACGCATTAAATGTTCAAGATATATCATTTGTGCAAAAAGAGGTTATGAAAAGGGAGCCCAAATCTCTTGAGAAACCAAAATTCCATGTAAAACAAGTCCAAAGAAGAATATTTTTTTTGTCATCCCCAAATAGCTAAATTTAACAGACCGCACTTCTCATACTTATCCCCAAAAAAGAAATATCTGAGATGTGTTAGTGCAATTAAAATCAATGAAGACTCAAATGAATTGACAGACTATGTGAAAAGTGAGTTTGGAAATGGAATTGATGGATCATATATTAAAAAGACCTTATCGTAAATCAATGAGCATGGCCAAATGCAAAAAGATATAAAAGTAAATGAGAAGAATAGTGGCAGCATGAAGGAGGAAAAGGGAGCACACAGCCCAAAAGAATGTGGTTTAGGGAAAAAGGTGAGGTTTATAAGAGTAGAGAGATTGATAGAAGGACCGTGCCAGAGTGAGTGAAAAATTTCAAGAAGTAATAGGTTATGATTTACTTTAGATGCTTCAGCATTTGCCTGCTTTGTTCACAGACTGAACTGCCTTAAACGATTGTCAAAAATCAAATGTTACACTAAACCAAAAAGAGAGATTTTTTCTATGTAGAATTGTTAAACTTGAACTATTGCAGATGATCAGTAAAACAGAGCCTTGCCTGCTCCATAAGATACTGAGAAAGATCTTTCACCCCAGAACCCTTCAGTCCAGATATCATGAAATACCTGATAATGGAAGCAAGAGAAATTGCAGTCAATAAGTTATCCAAAGCACCCACAAAATACTCCCGACAACCTCTTAAGTTTCTTTCCCCATTTTCCTTTTTTCCCTTGTTTGCTAGATACCTACATATATTCTTGGGTTACAGTGACAGACAACACTAACCTGTCATAACCAGGAAGATCTTTAAATTGGTTTGCAACCTGTAGGAGGTCCTTCTTTTTCTCCACTAAGTCAATCTTGTTCATGCACAATACCCGCTTTTGTCCAGAGTGAGCTTGAGCTCCCATTCGCTCAATCAATTTAGTTACCCTTATATCAGGCCTACATGGTTTAAAAAGCAACAAAATCAAGACTATAAGTGATAATAAAGAAATAAAAGCTAAGGAGGAATTTACAATTAGAGAATATAATCAAAAGAACTAATAACTCCAGTATTTCGCTAAGCAAAAGAACAACCCTAGCTCTAGCTCTATCTTCAATTAGCTCTTTTCATTTCATAATTAGAATATAGAAAGAGACCTATGACCTATACTTGTTGGAAGAACTAAATATGTCAGCTCAACAAAAGAATACAAATATTTGCAAAGCTTATATACAGGGTCATGGAAGCGGAAGATAATATCTAAAATAACTCTATATTTCATAAATCATAGCAAGTTGACCACATGAATCCTAACTTGCAATAGAGCCTCGGTCTAAGTACAACACACTCATGCTCATTTTCTTCTAGGAGTTCTTGGTCTAACTTGCATAATTCCACCTTCATATTTCAAATAAACAGTAAAGTTCAAACCAAAGCACGATTAAGGAACTCAAGCTTTCACATTTTAAATTCTCATCACTAATAAAGCACGAATATTTAGTGCCAGCATCTTATGCTATAAAAATGTACACTCGATTCCTATGCTTTTGAGTACATTGATACTGCAAAGTTTATTGGACATGTGATAGTATGCAAAAACTTTGCACTTATGGAACCAACTCTAATCCAGCCATCGGTTAGATCCATGCTTGCAACAACAAACTGCATAAAATTGTTTGATTAGATTCCCGCGAACCCACTTTGGAAACTACGATGAGCTGGTATTGAGTAATATGTATATGTAATTAGTACTCGCAAAACAAAAAAGTCATGTGCAACCAATTTTATCATCCTCATCAGCAGCAGGATATAATATGATCAAACTACATGCCACGATATTTCTCTAATGGCGATGTAACAAAAGTATCTGATAATGTATTTTAAATGAAAGATAGACACAAAAACAACAAGATATTTAGAAATTTAACTTTGTGAAAAGTAACCTGGTAAGATGCCTGTGAACATCAAATAAGACTATGAGCACATCATAGAGTTTAACTGCACTCCAAGCACTTTCAACACGTGCTTTCAAGTCCTTATGGGGAAATCCACTGCAAGTCAACGTAAGCCCGGGGGTATCAAAGAAGCACTGCATTGAATTTTGAAGAAATAAGATCATGATAATGATGGTTTTCTAAGATACAAGGCATTTGACTGCATCAATCTACATCCCTCAGCAAATGGCGCAGACCTATGTTCATAATTATCATCATCATGCCAGACAAAAACAAGTTCATAATCAATCTAAGCATAACGAGCAAAGACGAATGACTGAAAAAATTGAACGAGTATAAGTGCGTATTGGGTTGCACATAGTAATAAAAAAAGTAACTTCCCACCAAAATCAAAAGATTTATATTATTATAAGAAAGTTCCACATCATGACTTTAAAAATATGTAAAACGTGATTAATATTAAATATAAGGTTTTAAGTGTTTAGTGTTAAGACAAAAAATAAAATCTCCAACTCTAAAAGCAAAAGTTGAGCAACTTCAAGAAAGTGAAAATCATACGAAACGCACCCCAAATAACACTAATGGTTTCCTATTTTAAGTCTGCGCAAGGGAAACTCTACTACATACTATGTCGGTCTATGCTAGTCCAATGAACAAACTATCTACAGCTGACTATTAGTGAGAGCAGCATAAAATTTTTGCGCATGCTAGGAATGAAAGGCAACAAGTGAAATTATACACAAGATACTTGAGCATATATCAAAAGAAACATACTATTTGAGTGTCTCGCTTTGTCATGACTCCTAGCACTTCATGAACGGTTGTATTTGTTTTCCGTGAGACAGCAGAAACCTTTGTTCCAACCTATAACAGAAAGTGAAAATTCTAAGCCATCTGCAGATGCCATAAGGTAAAAGTGCTCAATGTAGCGGGTAGAAGAAGCAGAAAATAGTGACAGCAGGTCAAATAACAGAATTGAAGGTGCTCGGGTACTTTAATGGTGAGTGACCTAATTCCTCAAAAACTTCACAAAAGAATTGTCCTGTATGGAAGCTAGATTTGGACAACCAAGCTCCACGAGCAGACCATGATTTAGGAATACAAAATATACGTCATTTTATATTCTAGGAGGGAACATAAGGCTCCAAAGCTCTAGTTGACAATTAATATTTAATAGATCTAATACATTAGTCAAATTGATGGACTGAATCCTTGATATTCGTCTCACGGTCTCCAACAAGGATCAGCCACTTAATTTCAGAAAGTTCAAATGTATCATCTAAATTATATTTGTCCTGGGATTCTTAAGAGTTTATATGGGTTAAAGGTCACTACAGTTTTCTAAACTATGCTTAGTATACCGTATTTACAAGACCATGCCAAAACATACATGACAGATGTCAAAATTACAAGATTTAACAAGACAAAAAACCAGTACGGGAAGTTTGTTTCTGATGACATATAATGCAACAAAAATTCCAAAAATTCCAAATTGAAAAGGAAGTTTATCGGATATCCAGCTCACGCTCCAGCTAAGCAAAGACAGTACAGGTCAAGTGGTCCACAGACTTGCAGGAGGGAAGAAATCCTGCTAATCTTCAGGAAACTAATAAAATGGAAGTTTACCCCTTTTCACAGGACAAGTAACTTCCTTTAGAACATGTATAAGCACAAACTGGCAGTCCTGCTACCAGCCATTTGCAATGAACCTATGAACGCTTCTGCTTGTAGTGAGCTGATCCGAATATTTCGCAAAACTGTAGTTCAATCAGATACAACCAAATTCAGTTTGAACCACCAACTAAATTAACCTTCCACAGAGTTTCTCCTTACCCCGATGAACTAGAGTGTGGATTACACAATACTAAGCTAAAGACTCGTTCATAATCAGCTGACCATCTCATGCACCTCAAAAAACATCATGAAAGGTTAACAGTCAATCAAAAGATCACTAAATCAACATTAATCTCGGCCCAAAAGCTGAGTGGCATAGTTCCAAGAATAACTAAGCAAATACACATCTTCGAAAATCAAGAACCACACCATAAAATTGGTGAGAGCGGACTTCCCGGCATTGGGAGCTCCGATTATCCCGACGGCCAGAGACTTCTGATCTTCCTCCATCACAGCCATCTCCTCGTCGTCGTCCTCAGCATCCGGCGCCCCCAAGGCGGCCTCGAGCAGGGCCTTGGCGAGCACTCTCCGCTTCTCCTCCTCCAAATCGTCCTCCTCCTCCTCCACCTCCAGAACCCTCATGGGCTTATCACCAAACAACACCTCGTCAGCTCGCCTCCTGTTCTTGTCGCTCCAAGTGGGCTGCCGGGGGGCACGGTCATCGCCGGCGGCGGGGACGGCGTAATCGGCGCTGTTGAAGACGGAATCGGAGTCGTTGTGGTCGGAGTCCTCCTGAGGCTGGGCGGCGTAGGGGCGGAGCAAGAAGGCGGGGGAGGCGAAATTGGAGGGGTGGGGGCGCGCGTGGAGGGTGGCGAGAGCTCTGAGAGCTCGCAAAGTTTTCATCTTTGTTGTTGGGTTTTCAAGGAGGCTTCTACAGGAGTCTCATGAATCTGAAGAAGAAGAAGCAAGAAGAGGAGAGAAGAGAAGGGTTTGTGAGTCTTCTGGGTCTTCTTCTTCTTTGAAGCTTTGGCCTTGCTTTGCTTGCTTGGTTGCTTCAGTTCTCAGAGGGTTTTAGGGGTTTTTCTTGCTGCTGCTGCTGCTCTCTCTCTCTCTCCTCTCTTTCTACACTCTTTCTCGTCTGGTAATCAAGGCCATTTAGCATTTTGTCTGCATCAAACTAAAATCCATGGAGTGAAATGAATTATCCAAAGCCCAAATTGAACATTCATATGGAAGTTCATTTTGATTTTTCGGTCATGACATCCGTGAGGAATTTGCTTGCTCTTTTTTTACATCGAGATCGAATCGAATATGAGATCTCGCGCGCTTAGTAAATTAGTCGATTAATAACGCGAACCGTTTGTGGCATGTTTGGCCAAATGAAATCGGGCCTCCGATGGATTAGATGTTCGATTGAAATAATTAATGTTTTCGATTAATTTTCTAATATATCTGCAATGTTTTAGAGTGGTATTTGGTGCACTATTGTACAATAATTTGACTAAACTTGATTTATTGAAATATCCATTCCACTCCATGATTTTTCCCTCTTACAACCAAACAAGAGAATCCTTATTCCATTCTATTCTCTTGCATTCCCATTTCCTCGTTTCATTTCAGTCCATCACTCTAGAGCAAAATTAATTTCTTGTCAACTATTGTGCTGGCCTATATTTTGTTCGCTCACCTCAAGCTAGCTTGACCTCTGATAATGAACATTTGGAAAATGAAATAAATAAAATTTACCAAACTCTTTATACATTTCGTGAAGCCAATATATATCACCAAATGTCCGCCCTAGAGTGACAGCATGCATCGGCTTAAAAACTTGCCATTTTATATCGTGTAAGATTTTAGAAAATTAGTATCATTAAAGGTTTATGTAAAAATCACTATAAAAATAAAGATAAGTATCTATTTGTATTCTGAAATCATAAATATGACATTCTGTTCGAGTTTGGCTCAAATTTCAATTTCATATTACATGATTGAGTTTAATTAAAGTTAGTGTGGAGTTCAACCTACCACGTTTGATTGAAGTGAAAATGACATAATAATCCATAAATTTTGGCTCAATATGTAATGTGGTTCATGAATTTTTAATTTATTTAATGTGGCCCCTAAACTTAAACCAAATGTGCAATATGATCTCTTACCATCGAACATTTTCTTATTATCTAAAGACTAAATTAAACGTGTTCCAAAAGTTCATGAGTCGCATTAAACAAATTAAAAGATTAAGCATCACATTACACATTCATCTAAAGTTTAAGGATTATATTGAATAAATTAAAAGTTCATGGATCACATTGTACATTAGACCAAATCTCACGAGCCATTTGCATCATCATCTCTTGATTGGAAACTCGAAACCGCCATCCAGCGTCGAGTTCTCATGTCAAGTCGAGGCCGACTCGACCCAATTTCATTTGTGTCATTTTTATCTCCACAAAGAGATTTCTTTGGGGCAAAGAATCAACGGCAAATTGCAAAGTGAAGTATAAATAGCTGCTGAGTCGAGAGGATCACGGCCGACCCAACAACAAAGGAAAAGGGCGTATTAGCAGGAGCGGCAGCGAGCGCATCATCTCCTTTGCTTCGCTCGCTCGCTCCAAGCTTGCAGCAGGTCGAATGGAACGATGACGAAACCACGTAAAGCAAGCTCCTTTAGCCTCTCGTTCCACCTACCGAGCTGAACCCGGCATGCCCATCATCCACATCTCCACACATGTGCTCAAGCTGAAGCCCAACCTCCCTCCCCTGGGTCGATGTAAGCCCTCCCTCCCGCCGTCCGCCGCCCCTTCCCCCCGCCGCCGCTGCCGTTCCTCGTCAGCTCTCGCCGTCCCGACCCGCGAACCCGTCTCGCCTCCCGAGCCCCCGATCCCCGAGCGCATCTTCAGCTCGGGCGCAAAGTCGGGCACCTACACTCCCGGCGATTCCACATTCTACTCCCTCATCGACAGCTACGCCGGGGCGGGCGATTTCGGGTCCTTGGAGAAGGTCCTGCATCGAATGAGGCGCGAGAGGCGCGTGCTCGTCGAGCGGAGCTTCATCAGTATCTTCAAGGCTTACGGCAGGGCTGGCTTGCCCGAGATGGCCATCGATTGGTTCGACAGGATGGTCGACGAGTTCCAGTGTAAGCGGACTGTCCGGTCCTTCAATTCGGTCCTCAACATTATTATCCAGAATGGTCGTTATAATCGCGGGTTGGAGTTCTATTCTTATGTCATTAGTTCTAGCCAGATCAATATTTCGCCGAACGTGCTTAGTTATAATCTAGTCGTGAAGGCTGTGTGTAAGATGGGAATGGTGGATAGAGCAGTCGAACTGTTTAGGGAAATGCCTTTGAGAAGCTGCGTACCTGATGTGTTCACGTATTGCACTTTGATGGATGGGTTGTGCAAGGAGGGTAGGATCGAGGAGGCCGTTTCCTTGTTGGATGAGATGCAAATGGAGGGTTGCTTTCCAAGTGCCGTGACGTACAATGTTTTAATCAATGGGTTGTGCAAGAAAGGTGACTTGAGACGTGCAGCCAAGCTTGTCGACAATATGCTTCTCAAAGGATGTGCTCCCAACGAGGTGACTTACAACACACTCATTCACGGTTTGTGTCTCAGGGGGAAGTTGGATAAGGCTGTAGACCTTTTGAATCAGATGGTTGCTATTAAGTTTATGCCCAATGATGTCACATATGGAACAATTATCAATGGACTGGTTAGACTGGGACGAGCCGTTGATGGGCTTCAGGTATTGAAATTCATGGTGGAAAGAGGATCCCGTGCAAATCAGTATGTGTACTCCACCCTCCTTAGCGGGTTATTCAAGGAGGGAAGGTTTCAAGAGGCGAGGAGATTGTGGCAGGACATAGTTGAAGGGAGATGCGAACCCAATACTGTAATGTATAGTGCTTTTATCGATGGTTTATGTCGAGAAGGGAAGCCGGAAGAAGCCAAGGAAGTTCTCTTGGAAATGATGAATAAGGGGAGCGCCCCCAATGCTTTCACTTATAGCTCATTGCTGAGGGGTTTTTTTAGGACAGACAAATCAGAGAAAGCTATTCTTATGTGGGAAGAGATGGAAAATAACAATGACTTTACCAATGCTGTCTGTTATAGCGTTCTTATACATGGATTGTGTGAGAAGGGAAAGCTGGAGAAGGCTACGATGGTATGGAAGAACATGCTTGCTAGAGGATTCAAACCTGATGTTGTGTCTTATACTTCATTTATTCAAGGCCATTGTGATAATGGAGAGCTCAAAGAAGGTCTGAAGCTATTTAATGAGATGCTCTGTCAGGGGCCCGGTTGTCAACCTGATGTCATCACTTATAACATACTTTTCAATGCATTATGCATGCAGGGTAACATCTCCCATGCCCTAAATCTTCTGAACAGTATGCTGCATCAAGGATTGGATCCCGACTTGTACACATGTGACATTTTCCTAAAAGCTTTAAGCGAAAAGTTAAATCCACCTCAAGATGGAAGGGAATTCCTAGACGAGCTAGTGCTACGTCTATTCAAACGCCAGAGAGTTGTGGGAGCATCCAGAATTTTAGAAGTGATGCTGCAAAAGTATTTGCCTCCAAAATCATTTACATGGGAAAAGGCTGTTCAGCAGCTCTGCAAACCTAAAAAGGTTCGAGCTGCAATTGACAGGTGCTGGAATGACCTAGTTTGCTGACTTTTTCGTGGTGAGTGTCTTCTTTTATTACACTACATATTTGTCGATTTATTTTTCACAAGTAAAATGTTAAATTTGATATGCTCATCAACATGTCAAATATTGGTTTGGTCAAAGCTAGATAAGCTGAGGGTTAGCTGGAGAAACCATTTGAACGTTGTAGCTTTGCTGTCATCAATTTGGTTTTGGTGTGGCCTATTGTGCGAATCCGTTAGTATATTTCAGCTGTTCACTGACATTAGGTTAAGGATATCAATTGTTCAATTGAGGCTAGCCTGTTAAGACTGCCATGTAGACTCTTTTCTCTATATATCCGACAGCTTTCTCAAGCAAAGCAATGGGTGACACTATCCTATCCTGTGCGCTATTGTTCCCTTCAGGAAACTGAGACCAACATTTTGAAGATCTTGAAGCTTTTGTTGCCATATATGACGTATTGTTCTGTTAATCAAATACTGACTTTAGAACCATTTACAAGACTTCAAAACTATACATGACGATCATTTGCTAACAATCTTCCTGAAGCACTATGTCACGCTGAATAAGATATCATAATTTTGCTATAACTTTGCGGATTAATGATTTGGATATCACCGATATCGGGGCAGCTTCATTATTTTCTCTTGCCGTTCCCCTACATGTATTGCATTTTCACTTCAGTATATGTTTTCTATGTTTGGTGGATGAGAACAATAGTTGGAGTTTCAGCAGTTGGAATTTCATCATGGGTCTGCACATTCCGAGTATCTTACAGAAGAACTGGAGGAGAACATGTCTACAAGACAGTCTTAAGATCTTGGTACCCAAAGTTGGAGAATGCACGGATGCATTGGGAAAGGTAATGGTTTCCTGAGCAGAAGCAGCATTATTTTCTTGCTCTTGATAATTGTGTGAATTTCTCCTTCAGGAATTGAACTCTCTCCCTCTGTCTCGCTTGCACCCCCGAGCACACACTCAGAAACACTTGTACTTCCTAACTATTCCTCCTTTAAATCATCAAAAAGTTACACAGGTAGTTTTACCAGTTGACTGATCTATCATAATCATCTGTTGATGGATACGTAGATTAAAGACCTTGGCACGAAATTCCAATGGCAATGACAGAAGTCGGGGGAAGCATGTAGTCAGAAGTTGTAAGAGAGTTGTTGAGCAAGTTTTCTCAGACAGGTTATAGAATATTTTTTTTTTCTGGATGATGTTATATAAATAGTCATTGGGATATTGACCAATGTGAAGGTGTGGCCATTTCAGAAAATTCCATGCGCTGTTGAGCATCAATTAATGGGCCCGAAAGAGTTAGGAGATGGTTCTTTTAGGATTGAGCAGCTAGTCATTTCCCACAAACGTCACGCAAGATTGTGGTTCGGAAGAAAGGCTCTAAGGTCAGGTACTATGTTCTAGCCCGGTTTCTTAGAAATTGTAAAAATCTCTGTGTCGGTTTGTACCGGTAGATGATGCTGATTTTATGTCTTGTTACTGCTCTAACCATGCAAAGAGCATCCTTTACCTCAGGGCATGCAAACTAAAAGAGGAGTTAAGAGCTAAAATCTGCCTTTGTCCGGGATTTATATCTTATCCGCCAGGTTAGATTATAGTCAAGAAGAATTTATCATCAAGAATTTGTTACTCCTCTAAGCCATTGTTCCGTTATTTTACTAGGCATGTTGTTTACGGCGCAATCACCCTACTTCCTAATGTTGTGATGACGGAGTGTCAACTTGCCCTGGAAGATGATGATGAACTAGCTTTGATGCAATGCAAAAAGGAGATAGAAGATGCATAGAAAACGTTGTTGTTTTTGTATTGTTGTGACCGGTGAATTGTCTATTTATTCTTTGCCAAAATGTCCATCTGTTTCTTGATGAAGGTATTTCATTCTCGTTGCTTACAGCAATTAATTGTGCCTCACCGATCACTGCATAGGAAAGCTTTCTCAGTTAGTTCTGTCTTCAACAATCATGTACATAGGACACTTCTCTATTTCACTAATTTGGGTAACGTTTCATTCAGGTAGTGTAAGATTTAAACTTGGGGAAAGAAGAACTGCAATGTAAATATTTGTGGAGGGAATAGAGGAAAAACCCTGTAAAATGTTGCAAAAAGATCGCAGGATCTTATTTGGACAAACAAAGACAGGTGCATTTGCTGTTTTCTATGCCCAGGTGGCCAAGAGAGACATGGAGGCAGAGCCCAAGAGGAGGGATAGATTTGCACCCATCTGGAGCTTGAGATTGTGGAGCATGATGGGGTTCATGTAATCGGCTGCAATCAGATCCACGAGCGCCATGTAAGTCAGTATCCCAGCCGATGCAGAGTTGAGCGACCCTTCCACCACGAGAGCGCTCGGCTTACCCTCCTGATACATGCTTGACATCCCCATTCCCACTCCTATTCCTACTGGCGTCGTGAGGCAGAAGAACGCCACCATCGCCGCTATTTTCCGGGACTTGAACTTGGCCTGAGAAATACACCCTCCAAGTCCGATGCCTTCAAATAACTGGTGAAAGGTCAGTGCTGCCACAAGAGGCTTGATGGTTCTAGGATTATCGGATGCTCCTAGTGATACTCCTATAATCACCGAATGGACCACCACCCCTAATTCCAGCACCTGCAGTCCAATCCAATTCAAGGTGCCAAAGCACGAATCAGACTCTCCTCTTTGATTTAATGACTGAAGAGACAAAAGATGGTAATTAACTCTTGTTTTGTCAAAGTCTAGAATATGTTCTCAGCACTAGCTGTGGTGGAGCTTTAGAGTCAATAAAATGCTCATCCCCCATCACTAAGCCCATACCCAGCATACATATATGTTCATGTATATTTGAATATTTTGGTTACAAATGCTTTATGATTAACGTATTGGATTGTGTATCAAGATATGTCAACGCTCAACGGTACGGATGTTACGGATAATTCATTAAGGTCTCGATCAACCGGCATGATAACACAAACATTCGACCGTCCCATTCTACATGAGTTTCAACCTTAGAAATGCTAAGAGGGTCGATTTTTTCTTTTCTTTTCTTATTTTCGGCTCCTCTGTGGGGTTCCCAGTTGGTGCTTAATGGGGCGCAGGGTGTGAACCACAGCCAAAGTTCCTTCAACAGTCCATTAAAATAAAATAAATAAAATTCTTCTCATTTTTGAACGAATAATGAAAATATCTACCGCTATTTCTGCTATTTCAAAATGTTCTATTCGTACTTCAAAAATTATTTGGGGGCGTCTAACGATAAATAAAAAATGGACATTAATTGAATCATGAAAGTGAAAGAACTGCTGATGTGTTTAGAATAACTTTCTATTTTTTACTTCTTACCTAATCCCGATATGGCTTAGTTTTAAACCTCTGAGAAGTTAAATGAACAAAAGCCACGTCCTATCAAACTCTTCCAAACATAATTAACCTTATAAACGGTACCAGATCATCTCAAGAACATGCATCTGAGAAACACAAACTGAAATGAACTGGGGCTTTTTCAGAACCTGAGAAATGATACGATGCCTTGTGAGCTCAGAAGACTTGAAGTCGTGGGCGGAGCCATGAGCATGTCCGTGAGTCGCATGAGTGTGCACGTGCACGTGCCCCTCGTGCATGTCCTTCTCCTCGTCCCCCTTCCCTGCCGCTGGCGGCGGCTCGTCCGCCGCCTTGCCGAAATGCGACCGCTCGAAGTAGCTGGTCGCGAACGTGTCCACCATCATCGTCCCGATCGCCGCGAGCATCGCGATGAACCCCGCGAAGGGGAAGTTGTGCCACGGGTTCTCGCTGAGGTCGGGGCTGGCGAGGCTGGAGAAGGCGTCGGGGAGGATGTGGACGAAGGCCGTGGAGAGGATGACGCCGGCGGCGAAGGACTTGATGAGGAAGAAGATGGGGTTGTCTGGGTGGAGGGAGGGAAGCTTCTTGCCCAGGATGGGGAGGGAGACGCCAAGGAAGCTGGCGGTGAGGATGGAGAAGATGGCCGCCAGCTTGTACTTGAGAGCTTGGTGCTTAGTGTTATTGTAAGGTTTCTCAAGATCAGACAACTGGGTTTTCGTCATACTCTCACACCTGCACTCGGCAGATGCAGCGAGGAAGACTAGGAGCAGCACAAGCGACAAGAAGATGCATGAGAGCTTCATCATGGCGTCTTCTCTCTGCTCTCTTTCTTTCTTTCTGATTTTGGAGACAGAAATGACAGTATGGTGCTTTGGGAGTTGGGAGTATTTAAAGAGTTTGAGTGATGCGCTGAGGTGGTACGGCGACGACGACTGATTTATAAAAATGGATGGCTAACATCAAAGAGAAAGATAAGGTAGTCATATTCCTTCAAAAGCCTATTGATGCGATCGTAGACGTTATGTTTGATATTCATTTGGCAACACCACAAAGACAAAAGAAAAAAGAAATGCCGCTACAACACATCGTAGCTTCAGTCTCTAGATATTATCATATTGCTGCAGAGAAGCCACACCATCCACTGAACTTGACAGAATGACTCGTTTCAAACATTATTATAACCGGTGTAAAATTCTTATGTACAAAAAAGGAAGAAGTAAATTTTGATTCGTACCTCATAACTTAGTCTTTAAATTAATGATTAAAAGGAAAAGATCAAGTTGCATTATGAGTGGCAGGGGGATCTTAGTGAGGAATGCAGAAATATGGCGACATGCAGAGGGCATGCAGCCTGCGAGGAACAGGAGGGGAGGACACAAGTGTGTGGGCGGCGAGCGACCCAAATGTCGACATTATGAGTTTATAACACACCCCCACACCCTCGATTTAAGCGATAGATTTTAAGAAAAGTTCCCCTAATCTCTCCTCAAAAGGCCTCAGCTTTTGTTTACTGTCATTGCTAAAAAAAATGCTAAAGCGAACAGGTTGGTGGAAGTAAGCGTACATCATCTGATTGGACTCCACTTCCACTCGCAGCCCTGTGTCTGTAACACGCACCTCAACAGGTGTTCTGACCAGGGATTCACTTTTTCTAGAATTTGTGTGAACGACATAGGCTTAGTCTTCGCCTTCGTCTGTTTGGACCCCATTGCTTATTAGAGGAAGTAGGGGTGAAAGGACATGAAAACCCACATAACTCACCAACCCGAGAGATAAAGAGAGTTCAAAGAGTGGAATTTGTTTGTAACTTTCAGCGGCTCTAAAATGTTAAGTCATCTCATGAAATTGGCGTGTTAGACTCTATATCTCATAACCTGATCGATGTAATTTCTTATGATTTTAAGTCAGTTAAACTGTCCGTAAAGAAAGTGAGATTTTAATATGACGAATTGACTCAAATCTGTAAGCTTTGAATGAATAAAATAAGCGACAGCTTGTTAAGTTCACTTTTTAAAGTATCGATCTATACGTGCCATGCGAAAAGTCGAACTTTGCGTCTTTTCTATGTAGAGTTGCGGCTTTAACGAGGGGTCCTAAATATCGCTTTTCATGGAACATCCCTTACAAAAGAAGATGCTCCGGAAGCCCTTTTGAGTGGAGGAACTATGAGGAGAACCAAGAAGGAGAGCCCTCGTTGCTTGTCCTACCATATTTGCCATTGCAAAGCAACGGTGCCGGCCGTTCTCTTTTCATGATTAGCAGAATCCTGCACCCAACTCACAACTACGCAGTGATATGGCAGCAGTACCAATGAGAATAATAGAGGTCAAACATGGCCAGGTACACTTCTGATGGAGAGAGACAGACTTCAGTGTCTGGTATAGGTTCTAAGCTAAGTTCATCCGCTTCAATGCTGGGGGAACCCTATGCTCCAAGCCCTCGATCTTTTACAATGTCTACGGAAGTAACAAGGCATCGCTTACCCATTTGCCTACGCAGCTCAAAGCCTCACCTTCTCTTCATCACCTCCACCCTTAGTGCTCGCACTAATTCCCCGCCCTTTCACTCCCTTTTCTCTTTCTCTCTCTGAAATCTGTCTTCTTAGATTTACCATATCAAAGTGCGCGTTTGATGCCACTCAGAACGTGATGTTAGCATAGGTTCCTATGAAGTGATGTTAGAGCCATCCACTGTAGCGAAAATTGCAGCCGAGTGACAGGAGTTTGTGGCACTCGTAGTGCTCCTCCCGGTATTGCAGCGTATTAGCTTAGTCCACGTTCAAGGGATGAGGCTTTGACGAGGGAGTTCGATACTTTGGCCTTCAGAATTCTCCTCCGTTCCAAGTTTAGTACTCACTGTAATAGTTGACTGAGTCAAAGGGTGGGGCCCGAAAAATAGAAAAAGAGAAAGTTAGACTAGTCAACAAAAGGAGAAAATGGACGTCCCAGCTCAGATAAACAGGGAGGGCACTCCGAGAAAGGAAAGGAAAAGAAGAGGAAAGAGAGGAAAGGGAAAAAGGGAAAGATAGCTTTCGTGCCACACGCCACGAGATCTCGTCGAGCCAGATTTACTTCGATTCACGATGCCCAATAAGGATCTATGTCATTTGTTCGTCTAAGTTGTGGAATTTTATGGCAATCATGGATTAGGGCGTTGTGAATCTGTAAGATTTGACGGGAGTCGATTTGAAGTAACGGTCTAGTCGGAGCGAAATTTTAGAGTTTCGGCTTAAGCTCTAAGATGTGGATGGCTTTAAATAATCACTTTGGTTGAGCAATTTATTGATGCATGGGAGTCATTTTGTGCGTAATTTGGTCGAGTTATTTTAGGTATTCCTAAGTGAGTGATGCTTATCTTTTTTGGAAATTTGTAAGCTCATATCTTGAAAGTAATAGAGATTTGATATATTGAGCTATTAAAAGCATGGCTATTGGATAAAATTTGGATTGGGCATTCGTTACCTTTCAATTATCTGTGAATTGTTTGATACACGTTTTATGAAAGGCATGACTAAAGGTCATACATATTGATTTGTGAATTTGGTCATGAAGAATTCTGAAATGATTTGAGTCTGATGAACCGAGTTACGAAAGATTATATATTTTGGTTTGTGAAACCGACTTGAGATATAGATTTTGCATTGGCTTTGTGAATTTTGGAGAATGATATTATGGGTCTATGTTAATACTTAGTGTCTCTATGAACTCACTGAGGAGTTTGTGGGTATATATACCAGTTTTAGGATATCCTTGTGGGTTGGCCTCCGGCAATATAGGTGGAAACCTAGAAAATGGGAATTTTGGTCGTCTACGTCACAGAGCATTATGTGTGATCATGGTTAGACATATGGGTACGAGATTGGTCATGAAATGGACCATTAATGTGTAATTTGATAAATTTGATTAGTGGATTGGATCATTGATACTTATTTTGATATTATTGATGAAGTGGGTATTTTTGCCATGAATATAGTTATTTTGAAATAATATAGAACTCATTTTGATATTGTAAATTTGTTATATTCTGGACTTGTTGTAAATGAGATATGTTTTTGTCTTAAAAGTGCATAGTAGATGTTCGATTTGCTTAAAATAGATGAATTTCTCACTAGACTGTGTTTGCTCGTTTTATTCATCTTACATGTTATTCAGGTTCCTCGGTTAGTGACAAATAAAATGAGAGCATTCATGTTTATCGTGGCTTTTTGATAAGGCGATTTTTGGTTTGAACTTAGTTAGTTGTATATTTCTAAATTGTATATGATTATAGAAACTTCGATATTGTAACCAACCTGCTTGTTTATCAAATATATTTATATAAATATATATAGATCGTCATATATATTTTGATAACAAGTTAATGATTTTTGATTGAAGTTGCACCCTTGAGGTGGAAAGTTGGCCATGTCATTTTCCATTCTTGTTGGTTTCAGAGTGGGACACTCACAACCAATCATTTCCTTAGATTGGAAACCGATGGATTCATTTAGACAGATATCTGTCTACTGATCAAACCTTCAGCAGCACATCAGGACATAAACGGAAAAGTAATAGCAAGACTCTGGTAAATAAGAGATGGAAAATGCAGCTTAAGAAATCCTCTTGATTAATGAGATTGTGCTGTACATAGTCGAAGAGCTCTTTACATGTGGGTTTCCAGGAAAGCCAAGACCGAGAGGCCAGCGGCCCAAACATCATCATCCAACACGTGCTCCTCCGGCGAATGACTCACACCACCACGACAACGTACAAAGATCATTCCTACCTGTAGTGGTTTAAAATGAAGAACTGGTACCTTACGTGGAGGTAGACCAAAGTGTAGGAAAACACAAGGGATTGCAGAGGCCATACCTTGGTTAGATGTGAGATGGCCATCGCATCGTGTCCGGCTCCGCTCATTAGCACTGGAACTTCATCTAGGAACTGATTATCCGACATCCTGTGGAGCGCAGAGTGAGCTGCAAACTGAAGCTGCCTGCGCAACTCGTCATCACACATAACTGCACCTGCATCATGCTGTTCATCCCCAAAACGTAAATACTTGCATATATATTAAAAAAAACTAGAGGAGGAGATGCACAATGCAATTAGACTCCCACCTTGCGCTCGATGATGCAGGAAACAGAACGTCTGTCGCATATCTGATACATCCTGTTAGATAATTCATAGATCACTGCTTCACGTCCCATATCATCTATTGCACGTACATCCACCGTGAATATCACCTGCCAAAGGCAAATTATATCGCTCCACATGAATCAAGAATTCCGAGCTATCTTTGGACAGCCTTGCCATAATAACCAGAAGGGAGATGAACAATTTCTTACTTGGCCTGGAATGACGTTACTCGCACTTGGCCAAGATGATATCTCTCCAACAGTGCAAACGAGTGAAGTGGAAAGCGACTGCACTGTCGAATCCTTGCAGTGATCATCAAAGGAGAGAAAATCTTCAGGACGTTTACAAAGACTTTCCAGTAACACAATGAGTTCGGCTGCAGCTGACATAGGGTCCTGGCGCATAGACATTGGAACAGTACCAGCATGCCCCTGAGAACCTCTGACAGTTACCTGCAAAATATTGTCACATGTAAAGAACTTCACAGTCCATAATATATGGATTTTTCTGGAAGTGTCACTAATAAAACTCAATAACTAATCATAAGACATTGCACTTTGGCATATGAATAATCCCCAGGAATATGGCTCAAGAAGAGATTTTCGTAGAGTTAGCTGTTGAAAGGCCTACTGCCTTTCATCATATTGACGAATTATGCAACTTAGAAAGATGATATGAAGGCTCAGTGTGATGCTATTCCCGAAGTAACGCACACTATGAGCTATTGCAAAATTGTGTGAAGAAACTACCACCAATAGAAAATACTAAACTCTCACAGGCGTTAACCAATTCCCTTATGCACAAGATCTTCTAATATTAGTTGATTAAACAGGGTGCATGATTA